GTTCTGAAGACACCACTTTGAACGTACAGGGGTGCTCATAATCGGTAGATATGGAATGGAATGATATATTATGACCCCAAAGCACCGAACATAAACAGAAATGTATGAATTATCATTGTCAGATTGGTGAAATAAATTCACCATTCACTATATTGGATGTTGGATGTGGAGGTCTATGATATCAGCTCAGATTCTGAAAAGCTAAAATCCACAGGATGTTCCATTTGAGAAGATGATATCATAGCCGTGATGGCCGTGTAAGTCAGTATCTAAATATTTAACTACTCTCGGAGCATTTGAATACTCCTAAGTATTCAAATAGTTCCACAGTATTTGCATATTTCACGAATATTTAAATATTCCGAAAGTATTTGAATACTTCAGATATATTCAAATACTTTGTGAATCTATTTGCAAATACTAAGTTATGAATATATTCCAACAAATATTTGTAAGTATAAATATAATTACCTGAACCAGAAAGTATTTAAATACCCGGTGTTTGAATACCGAAAAGTATTTAAATACTGAAAAGTATTTGTAAATACAAATAATACCCAGCTCTGCTTCCAATATCTCCCAGCAGTGGCGTAACTACTATACCGCGAAACCCCGCGGTTGCGTGGGGGCCGTCTATCGGAGGGGGCCCTGGGTCCCTGGGTCCACCAACCAGAGCAAGGACTCAGCCAAATTGGTTGATAGATGAATATTTTTCAATTATGAATATGCCACACTAATAATTTTTCCATTTGTGCGAAGAGTGCAGGCATGTTTTTTTCAGTGTAGGTCCAGGGTGATGAAATCAACGATACAAGCCAAATATTGTCCATCAAGTAGTAACATTATGATGATTGAAACAGGAATGGATGTCGAATCTGCGATTATTATGGAAGAAAAACTATTATTCCAGATTTTTTGGGATTTTCTCTCCCCGTTTCTATAGAATTAAGATATGAATATTATTCCAATATAGGTGGTCACAAAAAAACCGGAAGTTTTTATTTTCCTCGTGGTTTCATCATTTCTCAACCGAATTCGAATTTCTTGGCGTCGTTTCATAGCTGAAGGGCTATAGTATACAGTGGAATATTTGAAAATTTCATAATGAACAAAAACAAAATGGCGGATTCTACCAAAGTATTGTCATTTACAAAACCGCTGGAGAAAAAGAAAATCAGATTTTTTCCAACCTGTACCGATGTCATCTTAGGCTATTCATTCCTGAAGAGAATGAGTACTCGAACATCGAAATCGAACAAAATAGTCCAGTAGATACACTCATTTCTTTGCAATTTGTTATGGAGTGAATGTGCTAATCTCGTATAACCGATTATTATTATTTTGCTCCAAGCTTCATGAAAATTCAATCGAATTTGGATTTCTTAGAGTTATTTCAAAGATAAAGAACTGTAGTACACAATGGAACATTTGAAAATCCAATAATTGAAAGAAACAAAATGGTGGAGAATCCAGCATTTTTGTGATTTTCAAAAATCTCTGGCGAATGAAAAAGTGTTTATTCTTCCAATCAGGACCGATACAATTTCAGATCATTGATTTCTAATAAAAAATGAGCACTCGAACATCTGAATCGAACAATTAGTCCAGGAGAAACACGTTCTTTTTGGCAAAGTGTTATGGAGTTATGGAGTGTCTTTTCTCAATATTGACTCTAGTCGATGGAACTTCATTTTCACTTACGTTTGGATTCTGATAAAGCCAGAAGTAAATGACAATACTTTGGTAGAATCCGCCATTTTGTTTTTGTTTATTATGAAATTTTCAAATATTCCACTGTATACTATAGCCCATTAGCTATGAAACGACGCCAAGAAATTCGAATTCGGTTGAGAAATGATGAAACCACGAGGAAAATAAAAACTTTCGGTTTTTTTGTGACCACCCGATACGTGTAGTGAGGACAAACCAGATAATTTTCCCCAAAATGTCACTGCGTTCAAAGAATTTTCCTATCAAAGAGTCTAAAAAAAATTCACTAGCTTGTCAGTGACAATTGGTAAGTTAGGTTGAGTGTAAGTTAAAAGTTTGGAGAAGAGAAATAAAAGGTATACAGTCTGTCCAAGATAAGGTTGCACAGCATGGGGATCTCGGAAACGGTAGGAGATACGAAGTCGGTTAAATAAATTTCTGATTATTCAGTGTCAAACATTGATGGACTAGTTATTCAATACTGAAAAGTGAAAAAAAAAAATCCACTAAATTATTCAATGCAGCGCTTCGAATTGTTTATGAATTGTATTCATATTTCAATCCGAAGGAGCTTGTCATAATTAAATTTTTCGAACTAATTATTCCTATAAGTCTATCAATCGGAACTAGTTGATGAGGTATTAGTTTGTTGGCTAATTTTCCTTCAAAATAAGTGGAACTGATGGCATTCTTCCTTTGGAATTTCGAAAAAAACATTGATGATGGCTAAAAATAGTTCGAAACACATTCAAACCACCTTGTATAATACATGGTTGAATTCAGAATAAAAAAAGCTCTCAGAATCTGTGAAAGAATTATCAGGGCCGTATTTAAAAAACAAAAGTTGATGAAGGTTCTACGAATACGAAACGTCGCATAGAAAAATCGGTATCACCACGTTAAACGTCATCAAAAGTTGCTATGGAAAAGTATTTTCAGTTTTCCTGTATCTCTAATAATAACGGAGAAAAAAAAAATAAAATAGAGATTCCAAAAATTCATTTTTTCGATATAACTGAAAAACTTAAATAAATTTTGAAAATTTTCGAAGGCCTGAGGTATGAGCCTCCGAATGCGCAACTTTTTCCCCATTTAACCGACTTCGTATCTCCTACCGTTTCCGAGATCCCCATGCTGTGCAACCTTATCTTGGACAGACTGTATAGGAAAAATATCAAATTTTTACTTAGCAAATGACGAGACTTCTACGCTACTACTGCATTCGAAAGTGTAGGTACGGATGGTATGAATATATAAAAAGTATTATATCTGAAATCCACGAGGAGCCCGCGAGAACTCCTGGAGATAGAACTGAGTCAGATGATTCATTACTGGATGTATAAATTAAAGAATCATTTCCTTGTGACAAAGGCAATTTCAGTGGCCGATAATGGGCGTGTACACCTTAGTAGAACTTTTGACTCAAACTATGTTTATAATGATCCTTTTACACATAAAAAATGATTGACGACATAATTCGATCGAAAAATTAACTGGAATGTTTTATTTTTGGACATAAATAATGGTACCTTCTGAGAACGGACCCTCTTATGACGTAGAAACCTCATCTCGCCATAGTTAAAAGAAAATACCAAACGCCCGACGGAGACTGAGGCAACTGATATATTAATTCTTTCAACTGTGATCTCGCGCTAATTCACTCTGTCAGAAATCATGTATCATTCATCTTTGTCTCGAATAGTCTTGTTTCAGTATTAGGATTTTGACGTCACATCATTGCCTCGTTTTCAAAGTCCGGGGATTTCAATAATTTTTTATAAAACGTAAGGAGCTCACAGCAAGAAACGGTTTGCGGTGCTGAGCTAGTTTGGGTTAGTTCTATTGAATTATGAAATAAATTTTTTTTGTGATATAAGCCCATTGAGCAACACGATAAAGATGTGTATTGTTCGTAATGGCCCGTCTCAACCAGAAATAAATTTTCCAAAAGAGGAGTTTCTTTAATTTTTATACTTCACAGAGAAGTCATGCTGGGCAAATCCTTCTAAGAAAATGGTTGTGTTATTCAGCCAAAGAAAATTTGAAGCGTATTGTGAAGCTGTTGGTTATTCAATATAACTAATAGTTCATGGAAAGTAGGAACTTCTGACTGGAAGGTTTGTTTCGAGGGGCCCTTAATGATTTTGGCGGGGGGGGGGGGAGAAAATACGAAGTTACGCCACTGTCTCCCAGAGTGTACCAACGTTATATAGATAGATAGATAGATAAGCTTTATTGTCTAAAATGAGCACATTTTGTCGACAAAGTCAGTATCTTGCGATATATCGATTGCAAGATTATAAATAAATACAACAGAACAGGAATATATAAAAATAATACAGAACAAAAATATATAAAATAAAATAACATCGACAAGTTTCATTATTATCACAAACAACAATCATCTTTAAAATCAATGATATGAATCTCTAATTATTCTCACATATCATAGAAAGACTAGAATTTGTAGGCAAAGTCTTCAACCAAACTGTACAAGCCTTTTCCCACTAACATATCTTTGACAGATCTACGGAATTGTTTCAAATCATTGATCATAGTTGTACATTCTGGTAAATGATTGTAAACCTTTTTACTCCTATAAATTAAGGATTGTCTCGTTAAAGATGAACTAGGCAGAGGAAGAGCAAGGTTCCTTTTATTACGCGTAATCTTGTCTATGTTTGCGTTCATGAAATTTCTTCTATATTTGTGAAGCAAACAGACTGTTTCTAAAACGAAAATTTCAAAGACCGTCAATATCTTATATTTGTGAAACATTGGCCTGCATGAGTCACGCGGCTTGAGTTTGAATACAAATCTCAGAGCTCGTTTTTGAAGGACGAAAACACTATTCAAGAGACCATGACAGCTACACCCCCAGAATGAGATTCCATACCGTAGATGCGATTCAATAAGTGAGTAGTATGCTGATATTGAAGCTTGCAATCCAAGTTCACGGGATATCACATTGACTGCGAAGCAGCCAGCTGATATTTTTTTCTTAAGAGCTGATATATGATGGTCAAACTTCTAATTGCTATCTATGTGAACACCAAGAAATTTCGTGACAGACTTGCTCTCAATGAGTTGATCTCCTAGAGCAATTTGTTCAATCTACCCTGTATAGTTGATCCCGGTACATGTTTTTCACCTTTAGCAGACATGAAAACCCGGAAAGTTTTCTATATATGAACCACATTATTGCATCACCAGATTATCCGGTTCAGCGCTCGAGATTTATAGTGGAAAACTTATGAAGAAACTTTCGGGAGTTTTTTGGGCGACTTTACCTTTCCGAAGTTGGTTAAACCGCCGTGTTCCGGTTGTTTCCCAGGCATATCTGCATGCGAACAGTCGGCCCTGGAATAATAAAAAAGACAAAATTTAATGTATCACATAATATTATATTGGGTTAATCTCCCAAAGGACCCCGCACTTTTAGTACGTAAAATGGTTCTCGGTGAAATTTTCTGAATTTTCAGTATGTTGTAGAATTCGATGAACTGATTGAACCTGCAGAATCGTTAAGTTCTTTGATGAACAGATTCTGAGATACAGGGCGTTGAAGTTACAAATCGGTATTTTTCATTTAATTATTTTCTCGAAATTCAGAGATGCCAGGTACAATTTTCTTCGCTCATATTATTAACGAAACTCCATATTACTCAACATAATCAGATGGTTCAGATGATGTAATTGTTTACAGAGTGAAACATAAACATTTCAGTGATGTCTGAAAATTCGATGTAATAATGAAATATCGAAAAAATAATTTAGGCATGCAATACACTATTCTCATTCCATCATGAATCGCAATTCATACATTTCATACAGGGTGATTCGAAAAATTGGGGACACCTAAGACCGATTTATTCATACACATCCTGTATATTCGAGTGAATTGTTAACCTCCCAAGATAGCTGATACCGTATGAACATGATTTCGTTGAGATATATAGGGTGATCATGAAGATTTTCGATGATGAAAATGACAAAAAATCGTGTTTTTTGAAATCACCCTGTTATTCATGATTAACTCGGTGAAATTCCCTAATTATTTTTTAATATATTCATCATTCGCTCCTCAACGCTGTCTTGAAAATTCAGTTTCCTATCATGACGGGTGTCATAGTTATTAATTCAGGAACTTAACCATTTGCATGAAGAGTTGAAGAGACTTGTTCACTTACATTCGCATAGTGGCCGATATTTTTCACAAATAGTGTAACGTGAGAATGTCGATGCAAAAATAAGTTTAGTATTCATATACAGGATGAACATCAGAAATTCAATAACAGTAGCAGATATATGAATTTAATAATATTAATATAATGTACAGATAGTTAGGCGAATTTCGTTGGTATACAAGCTCTGCCAAAATGAAAAACGAACAATACCTAGGAGATGGGAGAATGATTCGGTCTTCCACGCTTCCATTTCTAATAGGGAGAGTTGAATCCTGGAATCGACAGATTTTTTCACATTTGTTTTCCACTCAGAATCAGGCGTTTCCATCATTTTCATATTTGCTTGCTCCACAAAGGGTGGTTTAGTTTTTAGGACCAATCTTTCATTTCATGTTAGTTGACCCATTATTACATTATAACAATGAAGTGAATGAATAGTAGTATGAAAAACTAAGAAAACACGCTTATATAAATAGCCAAACTGAAGAGTTGAAAATGATTTTCTGAAAAGAATATTAACAGTATATGTTCATAAAATACGAATAGTAATAAATACGGTACATAGAAAATATTAGAACCTCCGAATATAGTTTTCATAAAGATAATGAATACGATGGTGGCAAAATCAATAGCTATATATATCAAGGAAAGAAAGGTATTAATTTCCTGCTGCGTGTGAAATTTGATGCAAGACGTATAAGTGAGTCTCACTTTTATTCGCAAAATTCATGGGTTGCAAAGTATTAATTTCCAAATAAATGAATTTTTTGCAAAATTTCCGTCTCTTCCTAAAATTTATAGTTTTTTTTCAAACTGCAGTGGAAGGGTGAGAAAAAATTGAAATATTTTGTTTTTGATGTTTGTTTGTGACATTTGGAAATTCCCTGTCACAGTTCACAAAAACGATATACAGGATGAACTTTTTGCTATAAACCAAACTATCAAAATTTTTCAAGGACTGTCCTGGTTTTTCCCAATTCTGAATAACTCAGGCGATTAGAGAGTCGTAGTAGAATGTTCCAAGAAAAAATCAGACGAATTCAGGAAGCTGTTGAAAAGTCATGACCAAAAGATGTTTTTGCCAAATCTCATAATTCACCCTATATATTGGAAAAGAAGAGTAGGAGATACTTTCTGATGAACATTCGGTATTTCCCTCAGGGGCATCTATTCGTGGTAGGAGTATGTATAGTTCCTCATGACTCACCCTGTATTTTTTTATGTTCTGGTTCCCACGAAAAGGGATATTCTGTAATGTCCAGAAAACATCGTGAGAACCAAGGGAATTGAGGTAGGAATTGGTGTTCTTCTTGAATTTCTGCAGGTTATATGCCTTCGGAAACGCCTCCCTTGGCAATGTGCTCCAGAGACTCGCTGTTCGTTGAATGAACGAGTCTTTGGAAAGAGATGTTCTGAGGTCTCCAAAGTGACCACGAAGCCTCAACTCGACGGGTTAATCTCGCGGGGACTCCCAAGGAAGGAACAATTGTTGATATTTCAGAAGAGCATCGTCCATGAAAATATCTATAAAATAGAGCCAGTTCACCAACTTTTCTACGGTGTTCCAAAGAAGTGAGTGAGTTTGTGAGTGAGGCATCACCCACGAGACGAATCACCCTTATTTTTTGGACAGAATTCAACAGTTTCAGGGTATGTTCAGGTGCTGCACTCGAAATATGGGAACAGTATTCCAGGACTGGTCGGATCTGTGCCTTATAAATCATAAGCAGCTGACTGGAAGTGAAATAGCTCCTGGTTTGAAACAGAAAACCAAGTTTTTGGGATGGACTTTTAGCAATTGATCTCACTTGATTTTCCCAAGAAAGGTTATTGCTGATAGTTATACCAAGCATCGAAATGGATGTCTTCAAAGGTATGGTTACTCCTGACAAGCTTATGTTGGGCACAGTGAGATCGACTTTCCTAGAGAAAAGGCATGCTTGTGTTTTGTTCGCATTGAAATCTACCAAGTTACTGGATCCCCATTCGAGAATTGTTGCCAAGTCCATATTTATGTTGTCAACATTTCTCCCTCGTTCGTTTCTGATTTGCCTGGCTGGTATTGGAGCTCTGGAAGAGAAGGCGGTATGGAGGGTACTATCATTCGCGAAGCTGTGTACTGGACATGAAGTTGCTTTCAACAAATCGTTGATATGGAGTGGAAATAGTGTTGGTTCTAGGATTGATCCTTGCTAGAAACCATCAAAAATGTCATTCCTAATTTCCTGAACTGTATTTTGTAGTAGTTGGCTATATTTCTCGTGTATAACGATACTAGTATCATCCGCAAATAGTGAAAATGTCACCGATGGAAAGTTACAAACAATATCATTGATATAGATAAGAAATAAAGTAGGGCCCAAAATGGAACCTTGAGGCACCCCCGTCAGAACTGGCACGCTTTTAGAGTAGTGAGTTTGTAAGGGGTCTCAAGATTCATGTTCCAATTCAACTAGAAACTGTCGTTTCAAAAGATAAGTTCTGAACCAATTCAGAGCCATACCCCTGATGCCATAGTATTCCAGTTTATTCAATAGTATTCCAGGGTTTATAAATTGAAATCAGATTTTCTTCGATCGTCTGGAGGAGGGTTATCACCCCATTACCCCCCTTCCTTGTATACGCGCCTGGCGGCTACGAACTTCCCATGAAATTAGAGTTTCAGGATTCGGCCAGACTTTCTCTTTCGAATATCCCCGGTCGTAGATCATGTCCGAGTATCATAATTAATCACTAGCCGAGCTTATCTGCCGCGGCTTCGAATGCGGCCAACAGCCCAGACATAAACAGCCAAACTATAAGTGGAAAGGGCTGTTCGAGGACCCTGGAAAGGGTCGCGCAAAGCAGTTTGGTGTTGTCGTTTTGGTTTGAGGATAGCCGAAAAAAATTTTTGTTAATGAACCTCTGACTAGAATGCAGGGTACAGTCCTTTTCTCCTTCGTGAAGGTTTTCGTTATGCCCATGATGGATCATATTGTCTAGAACATGTTCATCATGGCTCTGTTATCAAACGGCGCTAGACAAAATAGCGCGTGACAAACAAACGCCGATAGAAATTAGCGCCCCGACATAATAGCACCGACTCAAAAAGCGCGTGTTTGTGCTAGTAATAATAATGGCGCACTGTGTTACGGTTTCAATATTCTGAAGCATAATACCTGGGAAATTCAGGTATTATCAACGATAGGCAATATGGCTTCCGTCGTCAGAGATCAACTGGTGACCTGCTCGCTTACGTCTCACATATACTGCAGCAATCTATTGAAAAATATGGTGAAACCTCCCCAGTTATGTTCTCTGCTAGCTAGTTTTCTCTCAAACAGGCCTTTATGTAGTGGTCGACGGAGTTTCATCTGACTCTCTTATCATAAATACTGGTGTTCACGCAAGGATCAATTCTAGCACAAACCCTAATTCTACTCGCCGTATCAACGAATCGTTGGAAGCAACTTCATCTCCAGTACACAGCTTTGCAAGGCTCCAATACCAGCCAGGCAAATCAGAAACAAACAAGGGAGAAATGTTGACAACATAAATATGGCTTTGGCAACAATTCTCGAATGGAGATCCAATAACTTGATAGATTTCAATGCGAACAAAACACAAGCATACCTTTTCTCTAGAAAAGCCGATCTCACTGTGCCCGCATAAGCTTGTCAGGAGTAACCATACCTTTGAAGACATCCATTTCGATGCTTGGTATTACTATTAGCAATAACCTTTCTTGAGAAAATCACGTGAGATCAATCGCTAAAAGTGCATCCCAAAAACTTGGTTTTCTGTTTCGGGCCAGGAGCTATTTCACTTCCAGTCAGCTGCTTATGATCTATAAGGCACAGATCCGACCTGTCCTGGTATACTGTTCCCATATTTGGAGTACAGCACCCAAACCTACCCTGAAACTGTTGGATTCTGTCCAAAAAAGGGCAATTGTCTCGTGGGTGATGCCTCCCTCACAAACTCACTCACTTCTCTAGAACACCGTAGAAAAGTTGGCTATCTGGCTCTTTCTCAAAGATATTTTCATGGACGATGCTCTTCTGAAATATCAACAATTGTTCCTCCCTTGGTAGTCCCCGCGAGATTAACCCGTCGAGTTGAGGTTTTGCACCCCTTCTTGGTCACTTTGGAGACCTGCAGAACATCTCTTTCCAACAACTCGTTCATCCAACGAACAGCGAGGCTCTGGAACACATTGTTATCGTACTAGATAACAATCTAGTTAGGTAGTTAGTAGGCAAGAGCTTTTCTCCTCGCGTACTAGGTCACCTACTAGGTTTCCATTTAGATCGACAATTGTTCTTATATACAGCCCGGGTCATTAAAGAAACGCATGATTTGGCAACCAGAACAAAAAACCCACAAGTTTCATATTAGTTTTCTTTTTTGTGTAAATGTAATTTGTCCTTATAGTAGGTACCATGATGTTTGTACAGGCTGTCCCATTTCCGATGTCCTTACGGGTTATCTCACCTATTTTCGAAGATAGAGATTTGCGGTTTTCGCGTTTCGTTTTGGCTACTTTCATAGCTTGCTTCGTTCTTGAGATACAGGGCGAAATTGAAAAAGTTGCATTTTGGTACCCCTCTTGTATCTCAGCTATCTTTTAATTTATCGAAAAAGTTCAAACTACCGCTAATACATTTCATCACGTCGAATCCAGTGGCCACTCCCATGAGGGAATTTCAGTTTTGGAGTGTTTCTTTCCTTCGTTTCTACTCAGATGGCGTTGCTTTCATATTGTTTATGAAGGACGCTTCTGGGGGAATATAATGCCGACTTGATTTTAGTATGGCTAGGCTACGCTCAGTCGGCGGTCTTAGGACTGCTGGCTGGAGACTGCCCTGCACTAATGAGAGTCACTGAGCTCGAAACCGGTTTGTAGGTGTCTAGCGTGCCCTGACTAAATCGAAATCAATAGGCATTCAGGAAAGATTTACTTGTATCACTATTCGTTTATACGAGTCGATGCCTAGATTTTGGGAGGTATAATTCAATGTTCTGCGTGGCATTAGCCAGGAAAGTAGTTGTTTTTTTCCCGAAATCTACCATTTTATGAACATATTGTGGATATAACTCTGAGCTTATGGTATTCATTTAAAGCAGGTTAGAGTTTAGATAAATAGGATTGTTTTGAAACTTTGCGTTACTCAGATGACAGACTCATGAACCATTTTTTCTGCGCATTCTTCCTCAGATCACTTTATTTACTTACCAAGGTGTGTTACAAGTTGACGTCAGAGTGAGATATCTCACCCCGACGTGATACAGGGTCCTCAAAACTGCCAGGCTCCCAGCTAAGGAATGTCCACCTTCCACGCCGATTAACGAGCACATTTGGTGACGCTTGTAGGAATTTTTTATATCTGAAACAAGAGAGCTATGAGAATCAGAGATGACAGATGATTAGTGCAGCGATTGCAGCTGTGTAGATATTGACGTACGTTACCATGATACCTTGTATAAAACAATGCACGAAGTAAAATAGTGCGCGAAGTACCTACTTCGCGTATTGTTATGTAAAATAAATGAGATATTTATATTTCAAATTTATGGCCTCCATCGAGCAAACATCCACGAAATCATTTATTTTTGAATGTTCAACAATAACTTTGTTTCTTCTCTTGGAGCGCATGCACGAACAGAAATTCCTATTATGTTCGTAGAACATCGTGCGTACCTAGGGAGGATAATAGGAGGCCTTTTAGGCCAGTTCAACACTATTTTTAATATCAAGACGTTTGTAGAAAAAATGATGTGTGCAACTCGAGCGCGAAATACTTTGGTCATCTCGACTATTTTTTAAATCGACCACGCCTCGTTAAAAAAATCAGATCTCGATCACCAGAGTAGCATTCCGCGCTCTAGATACAAAAATAACTATTCTAACAGACTCTCTAACAGAGTGAAGAATTGGTTTGTTCAAAAATTTTGTTCTCTAAGGATTTTCAATAGTTTCTTCTATAATGCTCATCTTCCTAGGTATGTTGCTCCTCTCCCACGGTAAGTCAATGGGTGTATCACTATTTTCTTTCAAATCATAAGATCAAAGTGAAGAATTGGTTGCTTAAAAAATTAAATTTTTTGAGGGTTTTCTAATAGTTTTTTCTATTTATTTGAGAAATAAATAAAATGCAATCGTCTAAGGAACTATCTGAATGAGTTCAATATTAATAGAACATTGGACTCAAAACTTGCAACAGTAGCTGGATGCTGGATGCAATTTCATAAAGAGGTAGTTGAACTAGCTAGGTATAATATAGAAGAGCGTTGAGTGAAATTGGCAATATGGCAATCCTGATTGCAGAATTGGGGGCGAACAAACTCACGTCTCGTCTCAAAGATTAACGAGAAATTCTGGTCGAGTGTTCAGAATGGTGATAAAATATTCCTATCGAGCGCATATTGTTACATTCCTGGGTGAATATCTCAATGTGCCTTACATACCTTGATTAATTAATTCAAAGTTCGAACATAACACAGGTACCTACCTATTCTCACCTACTATGTTGAGTGTATTTAATTGAATCAGTTTAATATTGCTTGTTATTGCTTCATTTGTTTCGTATGTGGGGAGGTTGAAACTGAAATAAGTATAACAAAAACTGCGCCGCATTCAAATTGTTATAATTTTTCAAGGCGACAAGGAAACAATTTAGCCCTGTAACTTCTTAAATTCTTGTCCGATGTTGTTTTGATTTCCAAGGAAAGCTGATGGCTTATTGATCATTATATACAGGGCAAACATAAAAGTTACTATCGCACCCTTGGTGAAAGTAACTATGATACTTAGGCTCATTATGTTTTGGATTGAAGTGTGATAGTTCTTCAACACAATTGTTTTTGATTCACTTCGAAAGAGGAGATACAAGGAAAGTAAGGATTTTTTGAATTTTCATCAAAAATAATTCAGAAGAATCTATAGAGATTACCCTCGACATTACCTTTGGGATAAATAATTATAGAGATGCATTCGACTGCGTTCAGCCTTCGCCCATGCATGCAGAATAATTTGAGGCAATGGTGTTTGTTGTACAGCAGGACCATTCTAAGAGATGGTAAGTGTGTGACAAAGGTCCGCTACGCCTTTTCATTGGGAAGTAGAATCGTACTGTACTGTTTTAACTGAGGTTTTAACCGATGTTCACTGAGCCACCCAGTTAACACAGATTGATCCCAGAGATATAAGAGGATATCACATTCATGACACACATCACATCCGTGACTCGAAATGAGAGTTTCACTGAAATCACAATGACTTCTATTCCGGACCCTTTTGGTAATGATTCACATTATAATGTCAAATGAAACTCACAATATGTATTAAGCGACTCCTTATTCAACATCAAGATTGATCGATTCCGTTTGTTACGTAAATATACAAGAATGTGAGGTTCCAGTGAGTCTCTTATTGGTTGTTAGGGAGCCTCATGAATTCACCTACATTTTAAGTCTCAAATCTAATGAAATGTGACGAATATTGTGAATGTTTTGTAGAACTAAGAGTCCCCTGGCAGTACCAATGATGTTTTGTTGTAATTCGCATTGTTACCTAGCGAGACATGAATGTGACATCCCAGGGATGTTTGTGTTTACTGGGCAGGTCCTCGACCTCGACAATAATGATCTCTCGCCCTTCTTCGCCGACTGGTCTACTGCGCATCCAATTCTCAGAGGTCAGAGGCCAAGCTAGAGTGGTCAAGCCGTACACACCTAGTCGAATTTACGCCACATATCCATTTCAAAATTGATTATTTTGTGTATGAATAGTATTTGATGCAATTATTTGATGTTTAAAATCATCGCAAATATATATTACTCAATAATGAAATTCGAACCTTCGAAAAACGTATGCCTCGATGACGTCATCAACCGAACCGGAAGTCATCGTATCTGGATTCTGGCTATCGCATAAAAAGTAGGACTCCATATCTCGACGCTGCTAGATTTGTACCTAGTTATTACCTCATGAGATTCAATATGACCAGTGATAACAGTTTGTACATTCACAGAAACAATGGTTCCACCTGGTCCCTAATAATCACATATTAAATACGTATATACTCGCGAGATACTTCAGTACCAATAAAAATATCTTAATATTCCTAATAATGGTCGAGATTTTATTTAAACCCAAATTATTTTGTGGCCGTGGCAACAGCGTAATGCCTAGATTTCCCAGAAATACAAGAATAGAAGAAGAAGACGAACTACATTTTCAAACCGAACTTCCTAGTGTCACCTTCGTCTTCAAATCCTTGTTTCATCTAGTCAAGATGCGAGTATTCAAAGATATTCCTCTTTTTATATGATTCTTCAGTTGTGTGTTGTATTCTCTGTTATCTGCAGTAAGTATTCATTCCATAATATTCACTAGGGTCTAGGGCGAGCACCTTCTGAGGAGCGAACTTTTTTAATATTTTGATTGAAATGACAATCAGAAATATTCTTGCATTTGTCTAACAGAAATAAGGCTTGTTCGTTTGTGTTTATATGGTTAATAAACATATTCAACTATTGTTTGCTGGTTGATTTAATTATTAAACCAGATAGGCTCATTTTTATATGCTCTTTTTGGTTGATTTAACCAGGGCCTACTCTAATCAATTTTTTTGAGTGTATATCTCGAAAACAACGCCTTCAAACAAATATTTTTATATGAACTTTCTTTATTATTTCATCGAGTAGAACACACTGTTGAATTTTTTGTTTACAAACCGGACCCGCCAACATTTTGTGACCGAAAAGTGGAAAATATGTAAAAGGCCTCCACTTCACTTTGATATACCCGGCGATATATATATATATATATATTATATTTATCTCTTCAAGCGCACAAAAAGAAATTCCTATAATGTTCGTGGAACATCGAGCGTACGTATAGGGAGAAGAGAGAGAGAGAGAGAGAGGAGGTATAGGTGTCGGAATTTTTTCGGAACTTTTGGAGGTTATAAAGTTCTTGAGAATACTTCCATTGGCAAAGACTCCCAAAGCTTCGCCGTTCTATAGACGAACAAGTTTTGGTAGAGTGTTGTTCGACATTTTTCAAGGTTAACGACTGGTATTGCTACTGATGGAATCACAGCTCATATTTCTGAGGAATATTCCCGTGTTATGACTTGTCCAACAGATTCTTTGACATCCGGTAGGTATATAAAAGCTTAACATTACACACTTTTGTGGTAAGAGCACATCATGAACTTTGAACACTCGCATCAACATATTATATTATCATCACCATAATAATTATCATCATTATAATTATTACATTATTCTTGTCAGGTACCTAGATAGAGAAAATATTATTAAACTAAATTCCTTTCTGGAGTGCACTTTAATGGCGCTAGTCGTAAAATTCCATCTCGCTTATTACTTTAATTGTAAGTCGTAAAAAAGTACTGAAACTACAGCTTAACCACTGCACATACCTGCAGAAAGCCATGAATAAAACATTATTCAAGTCGCTCTTCTAATTCTCCAAACTATTCTTCGAGATCTGGATATCCTGAAGGTGTGTTTTATAAGGACCATAAATCCAAAAACAAATTGGTGCCAACATTTTCGTACTTTTATTAAGACTTTCATGAATATGAAGAATACCCTATTTCATTGTCTGCAGAAATTTAGAATATCAAGTGGAGTGGTGCATAGTTCATATATTATGTAAAACCCAAGGCCATTTCCACACCTTTTATCGAAATGATTAGAGATCATTGAAGGTACATGTTTCGGGCTTATATAAGCCCATCATCAGCCGATTAGAATTATTCCCATTTTTTGACAAAATCAAATTCTGGTACAGGTATGTAGATGATGGCTTGGATCTTCATGATGATGACTCATATATTATGAGGTAAGTATCTGTATTTTTAGTTTTTTTGAATTCATCACATCCTGCTATTAAATTCACAATAGATATTGCACAAAAGTTACACGTTACTATTTCTAGATACATTAATCACCAAATATGTTGACAATTTCAGTTTTGCTATAAGGAAAATCACACACACTCACTCTGTAATTCCCTTTTCTCCTTATCACCCAAATTTCCATGAAGGACCCTGCAAATTTTCAAGTATGGATTTGTCTCAATTTTTTGTATCATGTAGTTCATGTGGTTCCATGAAATAATATCATTGAGGAGATCCCCAAAAATGGACAGTTTTTTTTGCCAGGGGGGTTTGAATTCACATTTGGATCGAATTGACCATTCATTTCTGAGAAAATGAACTATATATTCCAAAACTTCCTATTCCATTTAATCACTTCTAAAAATAGGTTCTTCATAAAAAAAATAATGCGGGGAAATTATTACACCGAACCCCTATTTTGAAAAAAAAAAGAATTCCATCTAACTGTCAAAAGTAATAGAAAATGTTTCATCACGGATGATTGTGGAAACCGCATTTTCGCATTATTACCCCCCACCAAATGGAGGGTGCAAATAAAAAAAAATCGGTGGATTTCGCTGAGTTTTTGATATGATGTAGTCCATATGATTCTGATCAGAAAATCATCAGGTGACGATCCTAAAATGGTCAGTTTTTCTGCTATAGGGGGTGGTTTCATTCTGAATAGAAAGTCAACTTTATTCAATATTGTATTCCTATTCCTTAATGATTTTTCATTCGGAAATATTAGGGGAGGTTCTCACCCCCCAACCAGCTTAACAAAATCCAAAAAGTTGCGGGGTCCTTTGCTGCATTTAATAAATTGTTCCACAGGTTTTTCAATATTCTACTTCCTCCTGGAAATTTCAACGCTGAATTGAACATTATCAAACAAATAGCACATAACAATGGATTTCCCTCTCACCAAATTGATAAAATTGTCAATCGTCATTTGAACACGTTTGCTAATCGCATTTTACTCCCAATTCATAACCAAAGAACACGGTTTGCTTCAATTCCTATTGTAGGTGGAGCTTCTCAAGACATCAGCAATATTTATCTCAGATTCTGTGATGATCTCAATATGCCTTCTTACACCATGAACTCGATATCACGAGTATTTGAATTATCTTGTTCACATCCCAATTGCAATTCCCAGTACATTGACTTGAGTGGTAGACGGATTCAAACCAGAGTCAATGAGCATATTAAATTTATAGAGAAAGGAACACTCGTAGTTCCTCTGTCAACCATATTCTCAACTCCCTTAACAGTTTGAACATTGACAATAGCTCAAAAATTCTACATGTTTGCCAAGAAGGCCATTTATTTAATCTTTTAGAAATTCATGAAATAAATTCGTCATTGAAAAATAACAATGTAACTTCTCTGAATGAACAAACCCACTTTGATTGCCTCAAATTATTCAATTCATTGTATTTTGGTAAATAACTGTCATTCGCCTATTATTTTTCTTTTTACCTTGCTCTTTGTTGTAGGTCGGCGGATTCAAGATATTAAATATGCACCAATCTTGTTTTTCTTACCAATCTGAGGTAGTGTTGTTCTCTGGTGCTGTATCATCGATCATATAACTATTATTTCCATGTATCTAGTTTTGTGTTCCATGATCTGGTTGACTTGGCAGTTGACAATTGACATTTTGTTGTGTCAGTGTCACTGCCCATGTGACTCCTTCCATTTTGCTGGTTTTTCCGAAACCAAATGTTCTCCAGATCATGGAGCATTTGCATTTGTTTGCTCTGTTATTGACCACTTTTGAATTTGACATATTTTCACTTCCATGTGAGTAAGCAATCAGCGCATCTATATCCTTTTTTTTTTCTCGTCGAGGTGGTTGAAATCTTTTATAGACATCATATGGGTCCAATCCCCCATATGATGGTGCCTATTAAGGGCCACTTCAATATGAAAGACCCTTCTCGTTCAGGTCCCTGAAGATTGCTATTCCGATCCCTGTTCTCGTCTACGAAGAAGGCCAAAAGCTTTCCTTCTCCTACGAGTGACGGGGGAAGGGGTTGGTCCAGCCCTGTGGTGCCCCCTGCACAGGGCTAAGGCTGTTTACTCTGGGATGTCGCCCTGTTTCCCAGAGGCCCCGTTAGCGACACCATTCCTCGGTGCCATCCATCCATCGCCACGGGTTCCCACAGCTTGGATTAGGTTGCCAGAGCCTCGTTGACCAGTCCTCGACCACCTAGATAGACATCAGCAAATCGCCCCATCCCTGCCACAGATGTCCACAAATTGTCCCATCTGGCAGAAGAAAGCAAAGATGGTCCCAAAATGCTTCATCTGTCAAGCGGCCGCGGCCTGCCTTCCCCACACCACTTGATGGTAAGGTTGGGCTTGGAGGGGAAGAGGAAAAGAGAAGTTGGCCAAGAAAGGCCGATAGAAACCTGCTTTTTCTAGAACTATGAACTAATTATCGGCTGATGATGGGCTAATATAAGCCCGAAAGATGTACCTTTAATGATCTCTGATAATTTTTATGAAGGTTGTGGTGGTCACCTTTTTCTGTGTACAGACCTATTTGTCAAACGCGCGTTCGACTGTACGTGTGCAGCTTGCCTTCCGTTGCCTGCGCCCGAATTAGCGATCAAAATCGAATTTTCGTGTGGTTAAATGAATTTCAGAATACTAGAAATGTGTCTACAATGAGAAGAAAATCGTATGAACCTAAATTTCCCTAGTAGACGAATAGGGCAGTAATGAAACTCCCAGAACAAGGAACTAGCATCCACTTTACTAAGAGCTGTATACAACAATGAAAATTCAGAATAACTTGTACATACCTTCTGATGAAGTGCATAATGTCAGTCTTGGATGATATTGATCAGTGAGCCTTCTGATGACGTCGATTTGTTCTAGGGTAAGTTGAACCGCATCTTTGTATTGAGAGTCACATGGTACATAGGCTGCCCAAAACTGGAACAAAAATGATATGGAAATATTTGTAAGTGTTTGTCAGTTTGGGTCGAAACTAGGCAATTCGAGAGATAAATAGGATATACACTTGAAAAGTCAGGAATTTACCAAATTGGTTGCAATGATTGTGGAAAAAAATATATAGGCCAAACTGAAGGATCCATAAACACAAGTTTTGAAGAACATCTCGAACATTTGTAATATGGTGGTTTAGATAAATCGGGTACATCTAAACCTATGTTTAATCACAATCATAATACACACATAAATGAACTTAAGTTCGTCAAACAAGTGAATGATGCCAAATCAATAGATGCATGGAAGTAGTTAAGAATAGTTAATTAGAGTTATATGAATAAGTTCCAAATTTCAGTACCAAGATCCAGGAGCTTATTATCCAGATAAAAATAAGACTTTTTTACACCTGCTTTTTATTAGCTTCATATGTAGGTATATACAGGGTGTCTATAAAAGGTTGGGACATGGCTCGGCTGTGGACTCCTGGGATAAGAACAAGTTGATTTAGGCCAACTAACCTATATCCAAAATCCTCTCGTTGAGTTAGTACAAGGCGTTGAAGTTCTTCTGGGAAAAATAATTTTGCTCATAAAAAGAATAGGCTGAGATCGATTTTCATAATTTTTGGCATGGCATGTTCTGTGACTGTAAGTCACGATTTGAGATGTATTTAATCATCATCAGTGACCTGCAAGTGTTTCAAACAACCATGTTGCCGTACAAATTTGGTGATAACTTTAGATATTCCCTCCAGAAATATTTTTTGTATCGTGTTTTTGATAAGTCTCCAGTATCATTTGCAGATACAAAATTTCTGATCTGATGAATACTGCGCATTTTCGAAAATTAATCTAATTAGTCGGACTGTTTATTGATCATGGCAAGAATACATTGTGTATTCTTATTGTGAACTAACTGATATGTTGCTGGTCTTCGCGGGCTTTACAAGAACTCTCACGTTACAAATTTAGTGATAATTATTCAGGACCTAAGGTGAGAACTTTAACGTACGCCTTGTACCAACTCAACGAAACGATTTTGGATGTAGGTAAGTTAGCTAAAATCAATCAAGTTTCCATTTCGACCTCTGAAAAGTTATCACCAAGTTTGTACGGCAACATGGTTGTTTGAAACACTTGCAAGTCACTGATAATGATCAAAAATATCTCAAAACGTGACTTACAGTCACAGAACATGCCATGCCAACAATCATGAAAATCGATCTCAGCCTATTCTATTTGTGATGAAAATTATTTTTTTTTCCAAAAAAACTTCAACGCCTTGTACCAACTCAACGAGACGATTTTGGATATAGGTAAGTTGGCCTAAATCAACTTGTTTTTATCCCAGGAGACCACAGCCGAGCCATGTCCCAACCATTTACAGACACCCTGTATGTATGTATGTAACCGACTCTTTGGACTCGATTTTGTTATTATGATCCGAATCTGTTCAAAATTTTTATCTGGGGGTTTTCGGTATTGGAGATCATGATTCTTTCGTCAAAATTGGATAATCCAAGATGGCGTATCCAATATGGTGGACGAGTTTTATAATTATACGAGCCGGCGATTCTATAGAAAATAGGTATCTGTGGGGTTTTGGGCTCGGAGATTATGATGCTTCTATCAAATAAGGAAAATTCAATATGGCGAATACGATATTGCGGACGGGTTACGTAATCATGATCCGATTCTATTGAAAATTAGTATCTGGAGGTTTTCGTGGTAGGAGATTATAACTCTTTCGTCAAAATTGGGTACTTAGAAATATAAAAGAACACTAGAAAACACTCTTTTGTTGTTAGCCGAACTGAAAAATAGAAAAAAATGTTCCAGTTTTCGATTTACGTACCCTGTATATGCAATTACAGCAAATGCGACAGGCTGATAAACTAGCGCCATTTCAACATGGTTTCATCATTTCGTTTGCGGCTTTGTTATAAAACCTTCGACACATGTATACATACACACTTTAATCACATGAAATATGCAGATTGAAAATTGCATTGCTAGATACGGCCCTATTGTTGTGTGTTGGTTGATGGTCGACATCTGATAAGTATTATGCCGTATTTCGTTCGTAGGGAAATATAAACAGAATAGTTGTTTATATACACCATGATGAAATAGTAAATTATGTAACATTATCAACGTCCTTTTAGTAACGAGTATTTTGATCACCTGCGAAGTATAGAGGAGCGAGTGTTTAATAAACGAGTGTGTAGAAGAGTTTATAAACGCATTACATACTATACTTTTTCTACGAACTCATAATTCCTCTCTTCGGCAGGATATTATAATCAATTCGAAGGAAATGGGAATTGAGAACATAATACTATGCAACTGCATGCAACCAGTTCCTAAAAAAGGCAAAAAGACCCTACCAAGCAACTACAGACCGATCGCACTCCTATCTATTATTTCAAAGATCATAGAGAAAGCTATCAACATCGAGCTCATGAAATACCTGAAACATTCAGGTATTATCAACGATAGGCAATATGGCTTCCGTCATCAGAGATCAACTGGTGACCTGCTCGCTTACGTCTCACATATATGGCAGCAATCTATTGAAGAATATGGTGAAACCTTAGCCGTAGCACTTGATATCTCCAAGGCATTCGATCGAGTCTGGCACCACGGACTCCTCGCCAAGCTTCCATCTTATCGCTTGCCTCCCCAGCTATGTTTTCTGCTAGCTAGTTTTCTCTCAAACTGGTCTCTTCATGTATTGATCGACGAAGTTCATCTGACTCTCTTATCATAAATGCTGGTGTTCCGCAAGGATCAATTCTAGCACCAACACTATTTCTACTCCATATCAACGATTTGTTGTAAGCAACTTCATGTTCAGTACACAGCTTCGCGGATGAAAGTACCTCCCACATCGCCTTCTCTTCAAGGGCTCCAATACCAGCCAGGCAATTCAGAAACAAACGAGGAAGAAATGTTGACAACATGAATATGGACTTGACAACAAATACGAATGGGGATCCAATAACTTGGTAGATTTCAATGCAAACAAAACACAAGCATGCCTTTTCTCTAGAAAAGCCGATCTCACTATGCCCAACATAAGCTTGTCAGGAGTAACCATACCATTGAAGACATCCATTTCGATGCTTGGTATCATTATCAGCAATTACCTTTCTTGGGAAAATCACGTGAGATCAATTGCTAAAAGTGCATCCCAAAAACTTGGTTTTCTGTTTCGGGACAAGAGCTATTTCACTTCTAGTCAGCTGCTTATGATCTGTAAGGCACAGATCCGACCTGTCCTGGAATACTGTTCCCATATTTGGAGTGCAGCACCCAAACATACCCTGAAACTGTTGGATGCTGTCTAAAAAAGGGCAATTCGTCTCGTGAGTGATGCCTCGCTCACAAACTCACTCACTTCTCTGGAACACCGTAGACATGTTGGCGATATGGCTCTATTTCATAGATATTTTTATGGACGATGCTCTTCTGAAATATCAACAATTGTTCCTCCCTTGGCATTCCCCGCGAGATTGACCCGTCGAGTTGAGGCTTCGCACCCCTTCGTGGTCACTTTGGAGACTTGCAGAACATCTCTTTGTCTGGAACACTTTGCCAAGGGATGTGTTCCCCGAGGCTTATAACCTCCAGAAATTCAAGAAAAACACCAATTCCTACTTTATTTTCCTTGGTTCTCACGATGTTCTCTGAACATTACAGGATATCCCTTTTCGTGAGAACCAGAACATGAAAAAAGACTAACGAGGCACGTATGAGTGATATTGATTGTAGATGTGTCCAGTCCATAGGATTTATGAATATCACTAACCTTTGTGAATGAGAAGTTTTCATCTCACGAGCTCTTCCATTCGCAGAGGTATCAAAGTTTTCGATTTCTCAGGTTTGTATCCATACTCTGATTGCATAATTTTTGCTTGCATAAATGTTCTCACGTTTATATATTGTCATGCTTAGCATATGATAAATTGGAATGGAGTTGGAATTGGAAATATGCAAGTATCTTGAACATTATCTCCGATTTCACTTCCGTCTACATTTCGCATACATTTTTAATGAAGAATTCTGATAGAAACATAAATTGTTCTGTAATGTTATCTGACCATTACAGGATATCCCTCTTCGTGGGAACCAGAACATAAAAAAATGTGTATGAGTGTCAATTTTGCGCCTACGGTGAAAGTGAAAACCTACTTCATGATGCCATTAGTTCATAGTATTCGGAACTAGTTATTCCTCCAAACTCCAAACATGTTTCCTAATCAGTACACCGAGCGCATCTCCATATACCGACAAGAAACCCAGATTACAAAGACATAACTCTCAGAAGGCAATTAATAACCGAAATGGTCTGCGACCTACTACTCTCCCTTTGAATAGGCCCTTCTGGCCGGGGAGCAATTAAGTGGTAGCTCTTAATTAGGCTTTGAAGGTGGAATAGCGTTCGATAATACGATGTCTTTACAATGGAGTACAAAGTGTCTCTCAAGATGGAAGATGGAACTTTCGCTTTCGGTATAATTCAACGAATAGGATAAACGAAATGGTGTGGATTGAAAGAAACGGGATGGAATAACGAGAAAACCAATGCTGGAAATGAGAAGTATAATTGAATGAGCGGACTTCTTGAATTCATAATGCCTACTAGATTGTAGCATAGATAAGTCAATAACGGAACATTCCTATACCCAGACAACACATTCATCCATCTTCTGTCCATCCGGTGACGTGACTCACGTGACTGGATGTCCATGGACCCTAGAGACGTCCCATCCCGTACATCTCATGCAATGTCCGAGCAAGGACGTCCACGGAATGTCCCAGCTGGTACATCATTTCAAATGTCCTAGAAATAGCATCCCTTAGACGTCCCACGTGGTACATATTGTAGAATGTCCATGCAAGGACGTCCTTGGCATGTCCCTGTTGGGATATGATTTTAAACGTTCATTTAGGGATATCCATCGGATGTCTCGAGTAGTA